TCTGAGCCTTGTGTTACATCTGGTATGCCCCATCAAGGTGCTGTTTCTACAGATTTGACTAACGTATGGACCAGTGTTCCATTTCAGCAACCTTTAGTAAGTGCTGAACCTTCCAATGTTTCTTCGCATTTATTCAAATCCCAACTTCAAACAAATAACAATGTGGTAACAACTTTCCCCGGATCACCAAAGCTCAATGAGCAAGATACCCGAGAAAGAGGGAATGGCATGTCTGCCTTTGGTGCATATTCATCTAGCATGCAAAGCGTTGCTGTGAAAGAGCAACCACCCAAACAAAGTACTGGGCAACAAGTGTCAACTGAGAACATTCAGGGTGCACAAAAGATCAATTTGTCACAGGGAAAAGAATCCATTACAAATAATTTTTTTGAGGCATCTGTTTCAAGCTCTGTTGCTACTCAGAGAGATATTGAAGCTTTTGGCCGCTCTTTAAGGCCAAATAACAGTTTGCATCAAAGTTATTCCTTGCTGGACCAAGTGCAGGCTATAAGTACAGAGGTTGATGGAAATGATCGGAGTGTGAAGAGATTGAAAGGTCCAGATTCTGGTGTGGAGACTCAGCAGGTGGATGCCCAGGGAGGATCACAATTATCTTATGGATATAATAATATGGAAAGGAGTTCATCAGCTGATAACATGTCAGTTCCCTCTGGAGATTCTAACATGCTTAGCTTTTCATCCAAGCTTGGGGATGCTCGAAATTCAAATGCATCTTGTCAGGATACGTTCACTTTTAGTCAGAAAGATTCTCAGAATTTCTCTAGTAGTAGTAATGCATCGTTTTTTAGAGGTGAACAGTCTCGCGTTAGCCCCCAGATGGCGCCATCCTGGTTTGATCAATATGGAACCTTTAAAAATGGGCAAATGTTTCCAATGCATGATACACGGAGAACCACTATGAAGTCTCTGGAAAAACATTCTGTTACTGGAAAGCCAGGTGATGATATGCACACTCGGGAATCAATGGAGCAAGCTAGTGCCACTTCTGATACTAGTAAGCTTGTCACCATCCCGCAGAGTTCAGTTCCTGTACCTATTCCCAGTGAGCAATTACCTTCCCCTCCTGCCACGCGTTCTGATGTAACTGATGAAAGTTTAATTGTTGCAAGACCAAAGAAGCGCAAAAGTGCTACATCTGAACTTTCACCTTGGCATAAAGAGCTGACGAAGCTTTCCCAAAGGCTTCTGAATATCAGGTAGTTTGCTTGACACTTGCTCAATTACTATAGATGCTCCTTTCATTTTTGGTTCTTAGTTATCTTTAATTTAAGCAGAGAAATATTTTGTGTTGTTTCTTTCATGATTTTTTAACATATGGAAGGTTTATAATACTTGCAGTGCAGCGGAAACAGACTGGGCTCGATCAACAAACCGACTGGTTGAGAAGGTTCGCTTCTGGCTCAACCACTAAACTCACGATTAAGCTCTGATATTCTGTAGCTCTTTTGGAGAGTTCTAATTTCTAATTGCTTCATATTGGGTTGACAGGTCGAAGATGAAACTGAAATAATTGAAGATAGACTGCCAATGCTTAGGCCCAAAAGAAGGCTAGTCTTGACAACACAGCTTATGCAGCAACTGCTTCGCCCTCCTTCTGCAGCAGTTCTTTTTGCAGATGCTAGCTTATGCTATGAGACTGTGGCTTACTTTGTGTCCAGATTAGCACTAGGCGATGCTTGCAGTGCAATCTCCTGCTCTGGCAGTGGTTCTCAAACTCCATTGCCTCCTGACAGTGTTGACCTGTAAGAGTTGTCTGGAAATTATTTAAATTTTCCCAATAAGGCAATGAGTTAATGGTTTACAGATTTTGCATTATTCAGTGCATGCTAACTCTATAGTCTTTCAAAATATTTATAGTTTGCCCGAGAAGCCTAAAACACCTGAGAAAATCGGTCATCAATACTTCTCAAAAGTTGCGGAAGACTTTGTTGATAAAGCAAGGAAGCTAGAAAATGATTTGTTGAGGTAGCCTCCATGACCTCAATATTTCCTTCATATCACTGTTTCTGCTTAATAGTTTTGACAATTTTGTCTATTTCACTTTACATAATAGATGCCTACTATTTATCAGCATCCTGTGGTTATTATGTATGTGGTCCCTCTCGTTTTCTTTCTTTCTCTAGTGTAATGCTTCCTTCCGCTGATGCAGACTGGACAAAAGAACTTCAATATTAGACTTGAGAGTGGAAAGCCAGGATCTGGAGAAGTTTTCTGTCATCAATCGTTTTGCTAAGTTCCACGGGCGAGCACAAGGTGATGCGGCTGAGGCCTCACCATCCTCTGATGCTCTTACAAATGCACAAAAAACCTGCCCCCAGAGATATGTTACTGCACTTCCAGTGCCTAGAAATCTGCCAGACAGGGTACAATGTCTTTCACTTTGATCATTAATTGATTCTTTTTCCCTCTCTCGGCCATTTGCCTCCGCATTCCTTTTGATTGGCTGGTTCATTATCTTTCAACTTATCTAATGGGACATGCTTCAGAACAGCAGTTTCACAAATGGGAATATAGGAGAAGAATGAATTCTAGATTGTCTCCTTCATAAGCAACGGAGACTTTTAGTTCTTTGCGCTATGGACCATTGATGTCAATTTTGAAAAATATAAGGTGGTCTATGTATACTGTGAAAGTCTAGAAAGGAACTGCGATGCCCCATCATTTTTTAGCTAAAGGGGGAGGATAGAAGCGCAGTCCCATTACTCAAAATTGTACACACTTCTGTAATTCAAGTAATCATGTGTTCTTGTTCGCAATCCTAAGCATGGGAAATTCATCGATTGAGGTTTTACCTTGATTTTGGACCAACTAAGAATTATGAGAAGAGGGACTCTCTATGGTCTTAAGTTCTGAAATTTTCAATCTTATTGCTAAAATTAAGAATACTTTTTGGGTAAAAGCAAGAATTAAGAGGTTGGCCCTAAAGAATGTTAGTTAATTAGTTATTTGGTGACTTGTTTAAGTTTTTAAAGAAGTAAGAGAAATTTTATCTGGATTTCGGTTTAGTTGTGCAAAAGTCAATGGGGGATTTATTCTTCTGGGTGGTTTATGAAGTGTCCTGGTTTTAGTGATGTTGGAATCCCTCTTCGATTTGTTTTAGGTCCCCCTTGGTATCCCTACTTGATTTACCATGACTTCTACAGCAGGCATAAAAGATAGGGTAGTCCATAATATGCTGCCTGCTTTATCATGCTTCTTGTGTGCCACTAGTTTCAGAGCCAAAAGAATAAATGATGTTTGGTTAACATCTGATCAGTGGGATTGGAACTCGATAACCAAGTTTGAAACAGTGGTTAACTCTTTATTAGTATGTTAGATAAGCAGTGTATATAATATGTACGTTTCTGCTTTCGTTTTAGTTTTGAGGGTGAGCCAGCTTGTTGTTGCATAACCATTTGCATATATGGTCTGAACTTTTTTCTTTCACTAGAAGTTTTGTTTCCTTTGTCCTTCATGTGTTGTAGCACTTTTAGATTTCAGAATATTCTCCTCAAAATTTAGGGGTGCCTTTGTGCATCATTTTTGAAAATTACTGTAGGCAATGTATCTTGTTTGCCGAGTTGATACTGGATCCTGTTTCTTCATCTTGTTCTAGTAGTTACGTGTTACACATTTGTTATTGCACAATGTTGAAACCTGAGAGAGGCCTCTGGAGGGAACTGTGTGTATTGTAAGCAGGGGTGGACCCACAGAGAGACAAATGGGGTCGCTTGACCCCATGGATGCCGGAAAACTCCCTGAGAATCTCCGCTGATGACCCCTTGAGACGTTGGTGGGGGACCCTGAGGTGCCCACCAAATGCTCGATGAAATGACCCAACCAGTTGCTGCTAGTCTTTGCGTTGCTTTAAGCCCAGCTGCGCGCGCTGGCTTCCTTTTTGTTTTTTTAATGCCTGGCCTGCCGCCTTGTCCATCATTAGTATCAAAGCGGAACCCCACTTTGCGTTGCTTTAAGCCCAGCTGCGCGCGCTGGCTTCCTTTTTGTTTTTTAAACGCCTGGCCTGCCGCCTTGTCTATCATTAGAATCAAAGCGGAACCCAATTTTTTTTTCGTGCTTAAACAAGCTTGGACATGCTGTTTGACATGCATTTTAGCCTATGAAGGCAATATTGGTTGCTAAGTTGAATTGACAACCCAGCCAAGTAATCGAATTTTGATCACTTATGTCAATTTGATTGGCTGCATTTGGTTTATCAACAAGAAATAAATTGTAGTTGCTCCCCTGATCATCATGATTTTCCATGTCAGTAAACTTGTGTGTTAAACCCAAACTAGGTTCAAAATTAAAAGTTAACAGATACAGTAAGGGGAACATATTCATGAGCCAATTAAAGTCGTAGAACACGAGTATGTGTACCGAAAGGGGGTTTGTGTTTTACCATTAATTTGAGTGAAAGTGTTACAATTTTTAATTTTTGGTGTTATTTTTGTCTTAAAAAAAACATAGAAACTTTTACACGTTGGATTCTTACCTACTTTTGACGAACCGTGTAAAAGTTTGGGTAGTTTCCAACTGAATGGTATGGACTTGGACGAGGATTTTGGGATTTTCTTTCCTTTTTTTCTTTTGTTTGCCGGATGTGCAATATAAATTTGCGGCTGGTTTCAAATTCAGTTCCGATATAAGCGTCTGAAGAAGCTCCTCTGCCATATTTTCTGAGATTGTCCATAAGATGAGTCTGTTCCAGTCTTTGCATTATCTTTTTGCATATGGAAGAGTCTATTTTGATGTTGACAAATGGTTCGAAGTACTGAAGCCCAAAATTGAAGTGGGCTTATTCCAGTTGAGATTTACACCTGTAGATAAAGGAAAAATCTTCCAAATTCTAATTCCAATCAAACTAGAAAGCCGCATAGTTTACAAGAGTTTCAACAATTGGTACACACGTATGTGTCATTTTAATTTACGAAGAATTAAGAGAATGTCGCTTCTGTCCTACCACATTACAAAGAGCATTGAGGGTAGTATTGACTTTTTCTATTTTCATTTCATTTCGACTCTTGCTTGACATCTCAAATTTTGTCGTCGAGATCTTTCCACATCCAACGTCTCAAAAACTGGTACCAAAAAAATTAAAGCCAGAGCAGATTCGATCATTAGAGGAGGAGAGATGTCATCGACGGCCAATGATCCGCGTCAGCCATCGGCGGCGAAGCGCTACGTGCCGTCAGCGGTGGCGCCGCAAGATCTTCCAGTGGATTACTCCGGTTTGATCGCCGTCGTCTTCGGTATCGCCGGCGTCATGTTTCGCGTCCGTACTCTCTCTCTCTCTCTCTCATTAATTTTGCTTATTTTCGATTGAATTTAGAATATTGAATATGCTTGCTTCAGTATAAGCTGTGCTCGTGGCTTGCCATCATATTCTGTGCCCAATCACTGGTCAACATGAAGAACCTTGAAAACGACATCAAACAGATCTCCATGGCCATGATGTCAGTTCAACTCTTTCTCCTAATTCTCTCATCTATGTTTTCACTCCTTTTTTTCCTCCTTCTTTTTGCTTATTTACTTAAATGTCTCATGTATTTTGTGTGTAATTTATTAATTTATCAAAGCTACACAACAATAGTTTCTGAAGAACTGTTGTTTTTCTATGAGATTCAAAATTAAAAATCTCAGCTTTAGCTGAAAATAGTGAGTCTGTTACGCTCAAATGCTACTTGTATTCACCATAATTTATTCTTCTGGAATGAATGTGATGGGATTGTAAATTTTGTCATCCGTTCTATTTTGAAGCCTTCCCTTTTCTGTCTTTTGTCTCAATAACAGGTTTGCTATTATGGGATTGGTAACCAACTACTTTGGACCTCCTCGTCCGGGCACACAAAAGAGTTGAAACTCCTTGGACGAAAGAGTTTAGATGTAATACTAAGCGGTTTTTCTTTATCTGGTTATGATTTTGTTTTTCTAGATGCAAACTGTTGGTGAAGTTTGATGGACCAATATGAAGGCAAACTAATGTGCTTCTTATATCTATTCTATTGAAGTTTTTAATTCTTTCCTAGTCTGCAGTTCATCTGTCTTTTGGTGTTTTCTCATGCTAGTGCTCCTTTTAAACTCAAAGAGATGGGCTATGTAAGCCCTACCATGTCAAATTAACTGGCACTTTATGATACAGTTGTTTGAGGATTGTATTTCATTGTAATGGGAATGATTGTTGCTGCACATTAATCAAACCAGTCTATTGGTTGGGTTAATGTGCACATTTTTTCGATGCAATTTCATCATACTTTGGGCTATATTATCGAACGTAATATATTTGAAATCATGATCCTTATATTTGGGGATGTTTTTTTTTTATAATTTCAAAGCATACAGCTGAGAGTGATAAGTTCATCCTCCTCCTTCCTCCATTATTGAATGTGTTTATAGCACCTTTATAATTTCAAAGCATACAGCTGAGAGTGATAAGTTCCTCTTCCTCCTTCCTCCATTATTGAATGTGCTTATAGCACTCTGGAAGGTGCTGAATGTTTATGTTATGGGAAATAGTTTATGTGCTGAATGTTTTGTGTTCTCTTCTTTTGTGTCATGTCATGAATATTAGTAAAAGATGTTATAGCCAATAATTATTGTACTGTAAAATTAGATTTCAATACTATGGCAGTCTATGGCCTCACTTGACATACTGTTCCCATGAATTTCAGCCTTCAAAATAGTTTTTTTGTTCACAATATCTGGCAGAGAAACTTCTTACATCAAGGATGAATGAGTACTATCAAGTATATTATAATCTTTCATGCAAAGCTGATGTTTGATTTTTGCATAACAAACACCAGAAATGGCTGAATGCTACTTTAGAAACTAATATATATTCCTAAAAAAGAATGACTGAAATATCTAAACCAGTGGAGAAAGCATGCCATTTACCCTTTATAAAGGGCGATTGCATATTTTGAGCTCGTAGTCTCTTCTTCTTCTCTTTTACTTGTGCTTTATTTTTACTTCTATCTGAGACAAAACCATACAGAAAGTGTGAGGAAAGACAACTAAGAAACATGGAACAAAGACACGTTCAAGAAAATTCTATCCATGTGCTACTTGTTTCATACCCTATACAAGGGCATGTTGCACCATTCATAAAGTTGGCATACCTATTTGCGGGTCGTGGAATTAAGGTCACACTTGTTATAACCGAGTTTGTACATGCACGTCTGGTAGCCGCGCATCCGGAATTGGATGATGAGCAGTATGATCAGGTCAGGCTTGTCGCAGTCCCTGATGGATTACCCAAAGAAGATGTGCGAAATGATGAACATAAGCTGGGTGAGAGTGTATTCAAAGTGATGCCTGGTCATGTGGAAAAATTGTTAAACAAGGCCAACCTGGAGGGTAATCAGGTGACCTGTGTCATAGCCGATGCAGTTTTTGGTTGGGCTTTGGATATCGCGGAGAAGATGGAGCTTAAGTCGGCACTCTTCTGGCCATCTGCACCAGGAGTTTTGGCCTTGACACTCAACATTCGAAAGCTTATTGAGGCTGGGGTTATAGACTCCAGTGGTACGCAACCAAGTCTTTGATGAAAGCTATACAAATTAGTTGATCTTTATACTTAGTCTAGTTTGAACTACATATCATATCTTTATATCTATATCTTTTCTATTGATGATCTATGTGATTACAAAATTGAACTTTTGTAGGAACTCCAACAATGAAGGGGAATAAGGTTCAACTGTCATCAGCCCTGCCCCCTGTGACTAGCGCTGACATTGTGTGGAGTTATCCCGGGAACGAGTCAACGCAGAAGATCATGTTCCAGCATTTCTTCGCCATTCACCTGAATGTGAAAAAAAGTGACTGGCTTCTGTGTAACTGGTTTCAGGAGCTCAACCCCTCTGTCAGTGATTTAGTCCCAAACATGTTTCCACTTGGTCCATTACTTGCAAATGGAAAACCTGCCGGGAACTTTTGGCCAGAGGACTCAACTTGCTTGGGCTGGCTCAACAGGCAACCGGTTGGATCAGTTGTTTATGTTGCATTTGGCAGCAGCTCCATGTTCAGCCAGCACCAAATTGATGAACTAGCATTAGGCCTTGAACTTTTCGGTCAACCGTTCTTATGGGTGAATCGATCAGACCTCATCAATGGCTCATCTGCCAAATTCCCAGACGGGTATGAAAAGAGAGTGGCTAACCATGGGAAGATGGTTCACTGGGCACCTCAAGAAAAGGTGCTGGCTCACCCAGCCATTGCTTGTTTCTTGACCCATTGTGGCTGGAACTCAACCATGGATGGCATAAGCATGGGGGTTCCATTTCTCTGTTGGCCTTATTTTGCTGATCAGTTTTACAACCGCAGTTGCATATGTAATGGTTACAAAGTTGGCTTGTGCTTGAACCCAGATGATTATGGGATTGTTACAAGGCATGAAATCAGAAGAAAATTGGATGGTTTGCTTGCTGATGAACGTATAAAAGCAAATGCGACAAAGCTCAAACAAATGGCGGAAGAGAGCATCAGTGGAGGAGGATCTTCTGCAAATAATTTGGAACGTTTCATTGAACACATGAAGCAATGAAAGCATAAATAGTATATAAATACATGTCCTCATTTACAGTCATAAAATGCTTATTGCAGCCTTATTGCAGCTCTAAAAAATATATATAGAAGATTAGACTTCTATATACTTTAATTAAAGAATAAATGATCAAGTACTTTGTTTTTGGCTGCCTGTATTATTTAAAAAATAAATGATTAAGAAATATTAAAAAAATAATAATAATCCGCAAATCCTCAAAGACCATTGTAAGCATTTCCTCTTTTCAGTCGGCCCAATACCCATTCTCTTCTCTGCACTGCTTCCAAAACTAATAGAGTTAATATGAAAAACTAGATGGCATTGGCAGCTATATTAGATATAAAAATGAAAATGAAGAAGACTCAAAACGTAAAATTTTTTAAAACCCTGAAAATGATTTTAGTTAACTTAATTGCTAAAAAACCACAATTTAATATGATGAGATTAAATTAGTAAAAACTAATCTTTTAAATAAAGAAAATTACAAAAACTAAAACTCATTGTGTCCTATATACTCTTGTGGGGCCGACTTTATTAGAGAGGTGGTCAGTAAAGGTGGTACAAATAGAAAGACGGTAGCCACATAACACATTTCTCTTATGCAAAATGATTCAATATTTCTCACTTTCTTTGTGTTTGTTTGTTAATTTTAAGTAATAATTTTATTTTTTTACCTAGTGTTTTTTTTTTTTTACCTTGGTACTCTTCTTCCGTGTGAGAGTCTGAGTGCAAATGGTATTCCACCATTTTCCAATGTGTTTTCTTTGCTTTCCTTAGACTTCCAGAAAAGTAAGTGAGAAAGATCTTGGAGGCATAGACATTGCCATCTTCATTGTGGATAGGGTTTTCTGATCCATTTGGTTTCCAAAACCCTACCCCATTTCCAACTACTCGAATATTTTTTCTTCCTTGGGCACTTGCACTGCAATTTTCGTCGTCTTCATGGATAAAGAAGAACCACTCTCTCTCTCCACAGGAGAATGTCACTGCATATGCAATGCAATTAATATATTAATTACATCGAGAATCACTTAAAATTTGTAATTTTATATGTCATTGCATGTGACCTAAAATAGGTTTATAGCTTCAGGATCAAGATAATCACCAACTCACCGTCTTCCTCCCAGCTAGCTAGGGTTTACCTGAAACAAAGACATACATACATACATACATATCGATATAATATCATATAGCTCATGAATCTCATATATATATATATATATATAGATATATTTATGATCACAAGGTAGAAAATTATTACCTAGATTCTTCGGATGGGTGCTGTAGAATTGGGTTGCATCAATGTCCTGAATTGCCTCAGCAGCTGGCACAGGCCTATCAAACACCTTGTTCATTAGATAGTGAGTGACCAACTCCTTATCTGTTGGCATAAACCTAAATCCCACTGGCAGCTGGCCTGAGCTCATCATTGCTCCTTGTCCATGTTCTGCTTCCATGTATGTATATCGTGGACCGTTTGATCATCACTTGGAAGAAATGATCAAGAAAAATGGCTGGCAAAACAACTCAAGTAAATCAAGGCTGAATTAACTTATATATATGTATAGGTGGTAATTGAATCCTAGTAGGACTCTTTTTGATTACAAAGACAGAACCCAATTCACCTTTTTTCTCTTTTTGTTGTTTATCGTTCTTGTGTAGGTGTGTATACTTGGAAGATGTTGAGCTTAGAGTGGTGTTTAGTTTTTGACTCTGTTTTTCCAATGCGATATATATTGAAAAAATAACTGAGAGACCTAGTCAGTCAAGAATTTGGGTATTTTAACAAAAAATAAAAAAATAAAAAAAGGCTTACTTATAGCAGTGACTTCAAAGCTATAGTCAAATTGCAATTTAGCCCGTGATCAAGGTATTGTGTTCAACATTGACTATCATCATTTTGATTCGGGGTTCGTTTATGAGTGATTCTAGATAGGCCAAAATCACTTTTGGATAGTGATCTTAAAACACCGTCAAAATTGATGGCGTGAATCTAAGTGGGTAATGTTGCAAAATGGAGCCCACCTCCGCATAGACCAAAAACATAATAGAGTACTCTTAATCTTTATCATTTGAGCTTGGGCCTACAATAGATAGAAAATAAATCTGCAAGCCTGAGCGCAAAACTGATTAAGAAGAAAAAGCCCAATCGATGAATCTAACTGAGAGAGAAAATAACAAATGGGGGTAGGGGTAAATATGCAGTTTCGGGTTTAGGCTCCATAGCCCAAACTAAATAAAACCCTAATCCCAAACCGTGCTTACACTCCTCTCATACGCACAAGTCAGAAGACTCGGAGGTGAGCTCCGCCGCAGCAGTAAGTATCCGAAGAAGTAGAGGAAGAAGCAAAGCTTTACATAAACTGAAAATGGAGACGGCAAGAACAGTAAAAGACGTGTCCCCTCATGTGTTCGTCAAGGCCTACGCTGCTCACCTGAAACGCTCTGGCAAAGTCAGTCTCTCTCTCTCTCTCTGTCTCTCTCCTTATGTGTTTGTATACGTATTTTGTCAGTATTAGTCGTGTATGTAATTATGTAGGGATGCAGATATTGCAAGCTTAGATAATTCGAACTTTTAGGTTCAGTTTTGGTTCTGCAACATAAAAATTTATGATTGTTTGTATATTAATTTTGATTGGGAGTTAGTCTAGAT